GGCCGCACGCATGCCAGGCGAGCGTGCAACTGCTTGAGCCACATCCCCAGCCCAGCATTTTAGTTTCTTGACACATAAATATTTTACCATTCCAGGAAGGAAAAGTGGCTTTTTAACTACAAAGGAAGGAGTTTCCAAAGAGGCTTTTGTGTAAAGGGCTGGATTAAGTATATGTCACTAAGTAATTGTAGAGGTTTATTTTCATGTTTTGGGATATTTTCTACTATTTTACCGAATATCATAAGTCATAATATATATTATAGGACAGGGATGAGATATAAATTCATATTTCAAATGGGGATATAGTGATTTAAAATTTTCAAGTGGCTTTGTCAGATCTGTTGGAATTATATCTTATTAAAATATTTATTATTTGTAGTTGGACACAATAACTTTATTTTATTTATATGTGGTGCTGAGGATCTAACCCAGGGCCTTGCAAGTGTGAGGCGGATACTCTACCACTGAGCCATAACCCCAGTCCCTGGGATTATCGTTTTTTTAATCCCATAATGTAGATGACGCAGAGAGAAAGTGAAGTCTTATCTCTGCCATTTTGTTATTTTTTGCTTGTGTTTCTATTCTACCTGAAGGCATTTTGTTCTTTTTCAGATCTTTTTAAACTACCACTTGTGCATTTTGCTGGTGTTTGGTAAAAACACAATGTCAGTTTACTTGCCTGGGCAATCAAAAGCATCTCCATGTCATATTATGCTGAATTTTGAAAATGAACGAGGGCCTGTTTCTTGCATTTTTCAGTTCAGTTCATAGAACAGACTAATTCTGTCATATGAACAAGTGGTAGTTTAGCACTTAAAGTCCTTTCATTTTTGGCTTTTGATGCTGGGGATTGAACCCAGGTCCTTGTGGATGCTGGACAAGCACCCTACTCACTGAGCCACATCCTTAGCCTTGGCCCTCATTTTATTTTCAGTTTTTGAGATGGGGGTCTCATTATGTTGCCCAGGTTGGCCTCAAACTTGCAATCCTCTTGCCTCAGTCTTCTGAATAACTGGGATTAGAGGTGTAAGCCACTGTGTCCAGCTTCCCAGTCCTCATTTTAAATATGTTAATAAAATTTAATTTTTTTGGGGGGGCAGATACTAGGAATTGAACTTAGGGGTATTTAACCCCTGAGGCCACAACCCAGCCCTATTTTTTTATTTTATTTAGAGATAGGGTCTCACTAAGTTGCCTAGTGCTGTGCTTTTGCTGAGTGTGGCTTTGAACTCATGATCCTCCTGCCTCAGCTTCCCGAGCCACTGGGATTACAGGCATGTGCCACTGCGCCTGGCTTAATTTTTCTTAAATCCCCATCACTGCAAATAATAATTAACTCAAGACCTTGCTTATGGGGCTTGGGATGTGGCTCAAGTAGTAGCGTGCTCACCTGGCATGCCTGCGGCCCGGGTTCGATCCTCAGCACCACATACAAACAAAGATGTTGTGCCCGCTGATAACTAAAAAAAATAAATATTAAAATTCTCTCTACCTCTATCTACCTCTCTTTCTCTCTAAAAAAAAGATTAAAAAAAAAAAAGACCTTGCGTATGCTAGGCAAGTACTCTACCACTTAATAATATTTTCATTTGACTAAACATGCACCTTTAAGGTGTTTTATAAAAATTTCTTGGTCAGGTGTGGTGGCACATATCTGTAATTTAAGCAGTTTGGGAGGCTGAGGCAGGAGGTCACAAATTCAAAGTCAACTTCATCAATTTAGTGAGGCTCTAAGCAATTTTACAAGACCCTATCTCAAAATAAAAAGAGCTGGGGATGTTTCTCAGTGGCTAAGTGCCCCTGGGTTCAATTCCTAGTACTCCCCAATAAAAAAAAAAAAAAAAATTTTTTTCTTGTTTGAATCAAGCATGTATTTGCAATATTCTCATACCTCATGAATTGTTTCTTCAGATGCAGCCACTTGCCACCATTTTATTATGTTTTGTTTTCTTTTGTTCATACTGGGGGTTGAACCCAGGGGCTACATCCCTACCCAGCCCTTTTTTATCTTTTATTTTAGCATAGGGTCCAAACTGACCTCATACTTGGGATCCTTTTGTCTCAGCCTCCTGAGTTACTGGGATCACAGGCATGTATCACTGTGCCCTGACCTGTTGCCTCTTCAAGCCACTTTTCAGTTAAAATCTGGATAATCTCTTTTTTTCTAAGGCTTCAGTTGTACTAATTTTTTCTTTTCTACTGCAGATGAAGTGGGGGAAAGCAAAGGCCTTGATGTAACTGCTGCCGAGTTAGATCCCTTTTTGACAGACTCATCTGAAAGTGAGAAGTTTGCTTCTGTGTCAAGTAGAAACCTAACAGAAGAGCAACAACAAAGAATTGAGAGAAATAAACAACTGGCCTTGGAAAGAAGGCAGGCAAAGCTACTGAGTAATAGTCAGTCCCTAGGAAATGGTAAGTTTTATGAGCTGCCATTAATATATCATAGGCATGTTGAAAATTTTAACTTCTCTACTATCTACCTAAATAAACTACCTCTTGGAATGGAAATGTGTGATATTAAGCTTGTGTGTGTGTGTGTGTGTGTGTGTGTGTGAGAAAGAGAGAGAGAGAGAGGGAGGAAGAGAGCTATTTGGAAATATTGAAAGAATGAGTTTAAGATGGTTTTCTGGATAGCTCGGTATCTCCTAGGATTCTGAATTGTTCAAAAATATATTCTTCCCTGACTTTTTAAATCATGGACCAGTTGAGAATTTTAGAGCCATTTGTTGTGATACAAACAGGTACTAAAATTCTTTTTTTTTTTTTAATATTTATTTTTTAGACACAATACCTTTATTGATTTTT